TTTGTAGTTTAGACATACCCTTAGAGAGGGAGGAACTGAAATGAATTCTGTCCATTCAAACAAGATCATCCAGACGCAACACCATCTCAATGACATCAAAAGATGCTGAAAAATTTAACACAATCAGGTTGGCTATCTTTAGGCTTGGGCAATCATAAAAAGAAACCAACAATCCATATTACAACTGAGGTCTTCATTCCACAACCATGGTTGAACCCAGGCTACAATACAATGCATACACCTGTTGAATTGAGAGATATCTTGAGTGGGGATGTTAAATTGCATTTAATCAACTAATCAACTCGTCAATGGAATTTCTATTGACAAGTTGATTAGTCAATAAGAAGGGGAAACTGCGGAGCTGCAGCGGGATTAGCTCCTGGCCTGGGAGCTAACCCCACTGCGTCTCTGCCTTTAAATGTATTAAGAGGATAAGGCAGAGAATCTGGAAAAGCTTACTGAAAGTTATTCCCATGCACAGGAAGTAACACGGGAAAAGGTGAGCCAGCAGATGAACATAATTCAAGGATGGTGGTATCAGAATAATGAGTCATGAAGATAAGCAACTTTTCTACTGATATTTGGAAGGAAAGGTTGGTGGCTCAAAGCTAGAAAGGAGGAGATTTCAGTTGTCAAGATGTAAGACGATAATAGCTTGAGCAAAAGCTGTGGCAATCTTCATCAATAATTAGATCAATGATTATTCCCGTCTTTAATCGGTCCATCTCACAGACCATAATATCCCAAGAACACCCAAAACTGCATGAAAGTTAAGTAACAAACTGTGAGTTTATCTTTTATAGTGGTGAAGCAATATTACTCCAGATGCATGAGATACATTAAAAATACTACCAAAATTAGCTTTCTGATAACCAAAACGTATTTACAACCAGCATATAAAGGAGGCATGATAAAGATAATGAAAGGGGGTCTGAACTGAATAAGGTTTAAAGGTGGAAACCTGAGAAAGGAAGCCTGGGAATGAGCATGTGAAGTCAATGTCATTGTCTAAGCCCTGCCATATGAACAGGCTTTTTCCTTTTCCTGCTTCCAAATCGACCATTTCTTTCAACATATGAGAGGCAGGATCCCTGCTAGCCACAGAAAGTTTACAATCAACTGGACATTGCATACTACAGGAAATCTAGTTCCCAACAAGCCCCCAAAGTTCCATTATCTGCTCCAAAACAATTCCATTATGCAATATTTCTAGGAAGACCTTTAAGTCTCCAAATCTTCACCTGGAGACACTTGAAGAATTCACCATCTACAGGAAAAGCACTACTATACAAATAAATCTGAAGTATTAAAAATGTTTATTGCTTTATACAAGTTGTGGGCAACCTGTGGCCCACATGCGAGCCATCAGGATAACCTAGCTGTGGGCTGAAAGACGTTTTGTTAATGTTGACTGTCTGCAGGCACTGCCTTCTCTGCTCCCATTGACTGAGAATAGAGAACCATGGCTACTGGGAGTGTGGGGAGCAGTGCCTATGAACAGTCAACGTTGGGAAAATGTCGTATGGCCTGCAATCAGATTAACCTGATAGCCTGCAGGTTGTCCACCGCTGCTTTAGACTATAGTCTCATATTCTTAGAAAACTCCAGTGTTCTACAACCTCAGTTACAAGCTAATTTTTCAGCATAAATGTAAACTGTCTTTGACAGATCCTTAACAAAAACTCTGTCAGATGCATTTCAAGGCAAGTCTTCCCATTGTGTTTAGCAGGGGATGAACAGAAGGTAAAACACTTACATTTCTTATAAGCTATAACCTCAAGAAATTCAAGGTATTCCCTCATCTCCTTCATTTTAGAGACTGCACAAATGCATTTTTTATTAGTGACCTCTGCTTATTACTCGGTTACATGTGATCTATCCAGGTGTCTCTAAAGAGAAACAAAATATGCTAAACAAGAAACATGAACTAAAAAGTTTCCCAGTTGCCTCATGCTGTGAATCATTAAAAAGTGTGAAATGACAGACTTTCACCTGGTCCATTTCAACATTATATGCCCGTGGAGCTCTGAGTATTGCTTGAAGCAACAGGATGAGGGCCTATCTTTGTTATTGGCAATTCACATGTGGACTCTCTCCAGAACATAAATTATATCCAGAATGCATCACATGTCTGTTAGACAACAAAGACTTCTGTTTCTTTAAAAACCTGGCAGATCACTGCTACATTATCTTGTCTCAGATTTGGAAGAGAAGCCTAATACTTTTTGTATTATAAGAAAAGCCAACCTCATTATGAGGATCTCATATGTGGACCCTTCCTCTCGGTCTCCCAGTACATTATACACTGTCTATTTAGCAGGTAAGGTGTAAGGGGCAGAAATTATCTCTTCGTCTGTGTTCTGTACAGTATCAAACAGAGTCAGCACTTACATAAAAATTGGGTGAAATCTTCACTTGTGCTCTGTCCTGTTACACAAGGTAAAAGGATTGAAGTGATTTAAGAGGACCCTGAAAGCTCATACTGACTGGCAGAGAATCCCCTGGTTGAGGAACTGTGTGAAACCACTGTAGATCAGTGGTCTACAGTATACGTAAAGCTTGATAAACAATAATGTGAATAATTCATTTACTTACACGTTTTTTTCTTCCACCAAACAACATAAATGTCTGATGTGAGCCAGAGTAATGCTAAAAGAAAACAGGTTATATAACCTACCTCAGTGACCTTGTCAGAAGGCTCTAGTCCAATCAAATTGGCTTGTACTAGCTGCTGTAGAAGTCGTACTTGAGCTACGCTGAGGAAGAAGTCCAGGTTTGTGGTCATATTCACCTCCAAAGAATGTCCGCACACTAAAATATCCTGTCAAGAAAAAACATGTCAGAAACTGGCTGGTAGGCAGATAATTTACATTTTAAAGACGACTATACTGCAATTCTCTTTTATACCCAATTTAAGACATTTACACCATGTTACAATAGTGATAGAAATGTAGCCATGTTAGTCTGGGGTAGCTGAAGCAAAATGCAGGACAATGTAGCACTTTAAAGACTAACAAGATTGTTTATTAGATGATGAGCTTTCGTGGGCCAGACCCACTTCCTCAGATCAAATAGTGGAAAAAAATATATACCAAAGGATACAATTAAAAAAAATGAACACATATGAAAAGGAACAGAACAAGTAATACTCACGCGATCTCTCAACTGTCATCCATTTCTAGACCCCGACAAACAAAGACTAGGGACACCATTCCTACCCATCCTGGCTAATAAATATTGATGGACCTAACCTAATTTATCTAGATCTTTTTTGAATCCTGTTAAAGTCCTGGTCTTCACAACATCCTCTGGCAAGTAGTTCCACAGGTTGACTGTGCACTATGTGAAGAAAAACTTCCTTTTGTTTGTTTTAAACCTGCTACCTGTGAATTTCATTTGATGATCCCTACTTCTTTCCTTATTCACTTTCTCTATACCTGTTATGATTTTATAGACCTCTATCATCTCCCCTATTAGTCTCCTCTTTTCTAAGCTGAAAAGTCCCAGTCATTTTAATCTCTCTCCATATGGAACCCATTCCAAACCCCTAACAATTTTTGTTGCCTTTTTCTGAACCTTTTCCAATGCCAATATATCTTTTTTGAGATGAGGTGACCACATCTGTACACAATATTCAAGATCTGGGCGTACCATGGATTTATATAGAGGCAATAAGATATTCTCTGTCTTATTCTCTATCCCTTTTTAAATGATTCCTAACATTCTGTTTGCTTTTTTGACTGCTGTTGCACATAGAATGTTTTCAGAGAACTATCCACAATGACTGCAAGATCTCTCTCTTAAGTAGTTATAGCTAATTAGTCCTCATATTATATGAATAGTTGGGATTATTTTTTCCAATGTGCATTACTTCGCATTTACCAACATTAAATTTCATTTGCCATTTTGTTGCCCAATCACTTAGTCTTGTGAGATCTTTTTGAAGCTCTTCACAGTCTGCTTTGGTCTTAACTATCTTGAGCAATTTGGTATCATCTGCAAATATAGCCACGTCACTGTATACCTCTTTTCCCAGTTCATTTATAAATAGGTTGAGTAGAATCGGCCCCAGTACAGACTCTTGAGGGACACCTCTCCATTCTGAAAACTTACCATATAGTCCTACCCTTCGTTTCCTGTCTTTTCACCATAAAATTAAGCATTTGGAACAAATAGAAAAAACTTAATGTTAACAAATCTCCGGGACCGGATGGCATTCATCCAAGGGTTCTAAAAGAAGAGGTTGATGGTGGGGTGTAGGTTGTTGAAATCTCTGTGGAATATCTCCAGTGTTTCTTGGCCATGCGTCCAGATCATAAAGATGTCATCGATGTACCGTAGGTAGAGAAGGGGTGAAAGGGGACGGGAGTTGAGGAAACGTTGTTTTAGGTCAGCCATAATTCGAACTATCTTACCCATTACCAAGATAGCTTCCCCAATTATCACCTCTAATACCATTAACTCACAAACATCCCACTCTCCCCACCTCTAATATCATCAATTCACAGACACTTACCTTCCTTCCTTCCCTCGCATCCCCCTTCTGTTCTGAAATGTGATTTGTCCTTTTCATATGTGTTCATTTTTTTAAATTGTATCCTTTGGTATATATGGTTGTGACTATTTTCTTCCACTATTTGATCTGAGGAAGTGGATCTGGCCCACGAAAGCTCATCATCTAATAAACCATCTGGTTAGTCTTTAAAGTGCTACATTGTCCTGCATTTTGCTTGCATCCCCCTTCTGTTCTGAAATGTGATTTGTCCTTTTCATATGTGTTCATTTTTTTAAATTGTATCCTTTGGTATATATGGTTGTGACTATTTTCTTCCACTATTTGATCTGAGGAAGTGGATCTGGCCCACGAAAGCTCATCATCTAATAAACCATCTGGTTAGTCTTTAAAGTGCTACATTGTCCTGCATTTTGCTTCAACCATGTTACAAGGAATTGTTAATTCTATTTTTCTCTTTTAGTAGCAAAGATAATCATAAGACTTCTCATAAATGTGTGTTTGATACCTTGCCTTGTTTTCAACATTACCATTAATACAAATCTTGTATGTAAAATGTTTCATGTTTGCAGTTTTGTTTTCATTTCTTTCTAATGTCAAACACTAGGCTGTCAGATTTTTGTTTTTATTTGCTTGGCAATAGACTACATTTCTCCTTTGCCATGTCCTTCCAAGAAGATATATATTTTCTGGAATATAAACTCAGCTCGATTTATAATGAAATCATATGTTGGAACTCAAAGATAACCAGCCTAATTGATTTCTCTCGCCTATAAACTACTGTTAATATCTTGGCAGACTTAGGTGGATGACCACTAAACTTATACAAAACTACAGCTCTTGACTTTTTCTGGCAAGAAATTCAGAAATGAACAACAGAACCAATCCAGAAGGTTTGCTTAATAAGCAGAAGCATCGCCCTCATCACAAGAAGGATATGTTTGAATAATGTTCAAATTTTTGGTAATCTATAGTAGACTCCACCCTTCATCATTAAGCATCCCCTAAGAAATAGATTCAAGGAGAATGTAACTAGTCAACATATTTAAATTCTTGAATGTGAACAATAGTAATGTTCATATGTTTCTTTTCACTGAATTCTTTCGATGCATCTCAGCTATCCCTTAAATCATGGGTGGGGAACTTTTTTTGGGTTGGGGTCCACCAGTCCATAGAAAAAAAATCAGTCGCGGGCAACACGCAAGTGAGAAGCAAATAAAAAAAGAAAGAAAATCTTCACTAATGTGGACCCTGACAGAGAAGGAGAAAAACACTCCACACATTCCCCTCCCACACAAGAGTGTGTGGACCCAGCCTAATAGATTTTGTGTGCTTCAGCCTCATGGTGGGGTAGTAAGGGGTAGTGGGTGGAGCACCAGAATTGGCTTCCCAATACTGGGAGTGTGGGCTGAGCCTCAGGAGCCAGATGAAGGCAAGCTATATCCGGTCCCTGGGCCTGAGGTTCCCCACCCCTGCCCTAAATTTTCTTTTAATTTAAAACTATTACCCTCATGATGGCACTCTACAAGAATCACAAACTGCAATCTTTCCCTTGCATAATTAATATCTGTTCCTTCTTCATTAACTTGCACCTGTTACAAAATTGCAAATATGATTTTCATTCCCACCTTAGTTTTGCCCTTCCCAGGAGGTAGCTATATTTGAATAATCCACCGTTAGCTGGCAAACAATGACTAGCACCTCCCTCCAAATAATGTGTATTAAGTTACTTATCCATTTGCTCATGCCAAGAAATGAACCACAGTCTCTTGTGTGTAACAGGCTCCTCTACTGATTGTTATTCTTACTTACATGCCTTTAGCTTCCATCCAAGACACATTTCCAATCAATTGTTTACAGATACTCCCTAAGATACAACTGGATTTGCTCCAATCCCGCAGACAGAGACAAACACCTACAGGATCAATATCAGACATTCTTAAAACTTAAATACCCATCTGGGGAAGTGAGAAAACAGACTGACAGAGCCAGATGAGTACCCCGTCATCAGCTTCTTCAAGTTAGGACCAACAAACAAAGTAACAGAACATCACTGTTCATCACCCCAAGCACCAACTTAAACCCCTGAAGCACCTCATTAACAATCTACAATCTATCCTGTAAAATGATCCTTCATTTTCACAGGCCTTGGGAGACTGACCAATCCTCGCCTACAGACAAGCATCTAACCTGAAACAAATTCTTTCCAGCAACCACACAGCACACCTCCATCATACTTACCCCGAAACCCACCCCTGCAATACACTCCGGTGCCAAGTCTGTCCACACATCTATACAAGCAACATCATCAGAGGACCTAACCACATAAGCCACCCTATCAGAGGCTCATACAACTGCACATCCAATAATGCGATCTATGCCATCAAGTGCCAGCAATGCCCCTCTGCCATGTACATTGGCCAAACTGGACAGTCTCTACAACAAAGAATTAATGGACACAAATCAGATATTCGAAATGGTAACACACAGAAACCTATTAGGAAACATTTTAACTTGCCTGGGCACTCACTAATGGATCTAAAAGTGACTATTACAAAGCAATTTCAAAAACCAGCTGGAGAGAGAAGCTGCGAAACTTGCCTTCATTTGCAAATTTGACACCTTTAATCAAGGTTTGAACAAAGATATGAACTGCATGGGCCACTACATTCCACACCCTAATGACACCAAAAGCTAAGTGTCAGGCACTTACAGCCCTCTCTATTAGGCTCATTTAGCACGGACACGCTAATTGTCAAGATTTTTTTTTTCTCTCTCTTTCCTTCCCCATCCCCTTTTTCTGATATTTATTTGTACCTCTGGCCCCCTTGCTTCATTCAGCTGAAGAAGTGAGTTGTGCCCAAGAAAGCTCATGATACTATCTACATTTTGTCGAGTATCAGAGGGGTAGCCGTGTTAGTCTGAATCTGCAAAAGCGGCGAGGAGTCCTGTGGCACCTTATAGATTAACCGAAGTGTTGGAGCATAAGCTTTCGCGGGCAAAGACCCACTTCGTACCATGTATCTGATGAAGTGGGTCTTTGCCCACGAAAGCTTATGTTCCAACACTTCAGTTAGTCTATAAGGTGCCACAGGACTCCTCGCCGCTATCTACATTTTGTGTTAGTCTCTTAGATGCTTCAGGAACATTTGTTGTGTTTATTTGATTCTGGTAGAGATGACGTTTTCAGGTTTGCTTTTATGGGGCCCATGAACACAGTTTCTTAAATTTTGTGTTGGGTCAAATCTTCGCAATTCTTTAAGTTTTACATTCTTTAAGAATTCTGCAGTGCACCTAGCATAAATCTCATCACTTTATATGTCTGATGTATTATGATTCTACTACTTTCTTTTGTTTTTTGACAAGAGATTAGAAGATGTTAGGGAAACAAACTATTTCTTTGAATGCTATCATAATGCAATTCAATAAAATAAATGTTCAAACAATATAAACGATAAACCAAAAAATCTAGTCCTTTTGTATAAACATGCTATTATAACATAATTCAATACAATGTTTTCTTTCAGGAATAAAATGTGCTAAAGGAACAATAAGAACATAAGAATGGCCATACTGGATCAGACCAAAGGTCCATGCAGCCCAGTACCCTGTCTGCTGACAGTGGCCAATGCCAGGTGTCCCAGAGGGAGTTAATCGAACAGGTAATGATCAAGCAATCTCTCTCCTGCCATCCATCTCTACCCTCTGACAAATAAAGGCTAGGGACACCATTCCTTACCCATACTGGCTAATAGCCATTTATGGACCTAACAAGCTCCATTAATTTATCTAGTTCTCTTTCAAACCCTGAATTTATCTAGGTCTCTTTTAAACCCCGTTAGAGTCCTAGACTTCACAACCTCCTCAGGAAAGGAGTTCCACAGATTGACTATGCGCTGTGTGAAGAAGAACTTCCTTTTATTTGTTTTAAACCTGCTGCCCATTAGTTTCATTTGCTGGCCTCTAGTTCTTATATTATGGGAACAATAATATATATTTAAATTTTGTACTAACCTCTGTGTGCAAGTTTTCGGGTGAAATTATTTTTGTGAAAATGATTGCAGGAGCTGCAGTTATTCGCACTGTGAAATCTGTTAAAATTGGAGTTAAAATTGCTCTCCGTTCCTGATGCCTCCTTATGCTAAAAGAAAAAAAGATTAATCAATTAGATTGTAAGTAGCTGAGGGCAGAGACCATCTTTCTGTGTTCTTCCTATGCACAGGGCCTACCAAAATGGGGCCTCGATTCTCATTGAGGCTTTTGGGTGCTACCACAATATAAATAACAAATAATTATTAATAACAATGGTCCCAATCCTGCTGTCAGGCCATTAGCCCATGAACAAGACCACTTAATTTAGTGGAGTTCAATGCCATGTAAGGCCCAAAGGGATTCAACTATAGGACCAGGATATAAATAATTATTTTTTTAATTACTTCACAATAAAGGCAAAATTAAAAAATTTTCTAATGTTAACTATTAATACTTTACACAAATCCATTGTGTCCTCAGTGTGTTTGAAACAAAAATAATTTATCTACACTTTTTACTCTCTAAATTCCTCACTAGTATACACATCATACAAAGTGAGAAAATATTGTTTTTTTTTTCTTTTACTGAGTTAATATATGTTTAAAAATAAATTACTGTGAAGCAGTTTAGGCCACATACATTTGACTTATAAATCACAATTTTTTTTCAAAATATGTTAATGATCTTTACATTTAAATAGGTGTTCTTATATATCTAACAGTACTGAAACCGTTAAAAGCTGCCACACACACAAGTTGCACAAAATCACAAAACCAAGCAAATGACAAATTAAACCATCTAACAATAGAAAACCTCTACTCTACCATTCACATCTTACCGTTACTGTAAGTATTTGATACCATAGATCAACATAATCATCTAAATTCCTCCCCCATAATAAAGCAATGCCAGTCTTCCAGCATGTGTTTCTGTGTTTGAATGAGCATGCTATACATTAGCTCCTTCTAATAAGAATATTGACATTCATTTTCTATGAATATGTGTGTCAGTAAACAGGATACTTAAGTTATTTTATGATTATGTAAGTAGATCTCACAATGAATCTTGAATGTGGCCAGGCTTGGGTTTATATATACTTCTAGCACAGGTCTACTCAACATGCGGCCCATGGGCCCGTTTGTTTGCGGCCTGTGGTGCGGCTTGGGTTTACACGGGGCTCAACATGCGGCCTGCGAGTGGGAGCCAAAACAAAAAAGTAGTCAATATAATGATCTTCTGTTGATATGTGTTTTAGTAGCTAATTTCATGGACTGTCATTGCTCATTAAAAGTGCTGTCATATGGGTGGAAACTGGGTAAATATTACATTTTATTAATATCAGCAGAACTGACTTAAATGGGGCCTGTGTGTTGTGTAGTCTTGCCTTAATCTTGGTATTCAGCCTGTCAATGTGCTATTTGCATATATATATGTGCATGTATATGCCACCACACTTAAGTTGCAGCCCCCCCCTTGGCATGTGCTATGAGAATCATTGTGGCCCCTGGGGTTTCCAGAGTTGGGTAGCCCTGGTCTAGCTGAAGCAAACTCAACAGATGAGTGTTGGACACAGAGCCCTACTGGTGGCTCACTATTCTGTGTCAGCATCTCGTCAGCCCTGACATACTCACTGTACCTAACACCCTGTTATCATGACACTTTCCCAAAAAGTGTCATCTCATAATATAACACTAAAAAAGAATATGTTACTTATTAATATTCTTGAGTGATGTATGCATGGTAAACTCACACTGGACTTCATAGACATATGCTGGCAATATATGTCTAAATTGTATTTTAACAGGAGGAGCTGATAACAAAAGAAATAGGCTAACATCTCAAATCAGGTGTGGTCAAATTCAGTGGACTATGAATTTGTATGGGAAATTGCAGAGATAATTTGTATTATAAGAATCACCAGTGGATGAGAAGACAGTATGGAGTATACACCAACAGTATGGCATACATAGTTGGAATTGGTCCTGCCTCGAGCAGGGGGCTGTACTTGATGACCTTCTGAGGTCTCTTCCAGTTCTATGATTCTATGATTCACACCCAGGAAGGAAAAGGCATTTCATTAGGGCTTACATTTTAAATAATACATTTCTAACCTTTACTGGACTGTAAAAAAAGGGAGGGAACCTATAGTTGTCCATCACTCAGGGATTCCATGGGGCTGCAGCTCTTGAAATCATATAATATTGGGTCCCTTCAGCCAAAGGGCCTGAAATCTCTGGGAGGTAAGTTTAAATTGTAACTTCCTGAAATTTTTAGTCTTATAAGTGTATTTTACTTTGGTTTGCTAGTCACACTTCTGTCTTTATCTACTATATATTTAAGAGTGTTTGTCTGTGAGCGAGTGAGTCTGTCTGTCCATGTCTGTTTGTTCAAGAATTCCTCCTAAATGGTAAGAGCTAAGACATAAAAATGAGGGGGCTATAGCAGGGACAGGTATACTGTATAATGACCACCAGGAGCAGCAAAAGGCCAGAGACAGGAATCAGGACAGCTATAACACCATAAGAGCAGAAGTAGAAGTAAGGTTCTCTTTTGGCCAAACTGGACAATCCCTACGTAAAAGAATAAATGGACACAAATCAGATATTAGGAATGGAAATATACAAAAACCTGTAGAACACTTCAATCTCCCTGGACACACGGTAGCAGATTTAAAAGTAGTCATCCTGCAGCAAAAAAACTTCAAGACCAGACTCCAAAGAGAAACTGCTGAGCTACAGTTCATCTGCAAATTTGACACTATCAGTTCAGGATTAAACAAAGACTGTGAATGGCTAGCCAAGTACAAAAGCAGTTTCTCTTCTCTTGGTGTTCACACCTCCACATCAGTTGATAGAATGGACCTCACCTTCCCTAACTGAATTAACCTCGTTATCTCTAGCCTGCATATTTATACCTGCCTCTGGAAATTTCCACTACAAGACGAAGTGGGTCTTTGCCAATGAAAGCTTATGCTCCAGTACGTCTGTTAGTCTATAAGGTGCCACATGACTTCTTGTCGTTTTTGCAGATCCAGACTAACATGGCTACCCCTCTGATACTTGAATGTTTACAGGAGCAATAAACTTAAGTTCTGCACATGTTCCAGGAGAAGGCAAGACACTACAGAGGTACATCATTTTGGGAAAATTCAGGAGTAAGAGGGTCGCTCTGTAAAAAGCACCTGGGTGGCAGAAGCCAGGTATGCAGGCTGTTGATGTCAGGGCTGAGACACAGCAATATAGCATTTAAAGCATCCAGAGTTGCAGGCCAAGCAATGACATAACTCCTTAATGGTCTGGATTGCACCACAAAACATTACAAAGGGCCTTTTCCTTCAAATTCCCTGCTCTGTGCTATCTTGAATTTTACTTTTCTGGCAATTAGCAGAAGTGCTCTGGAAGTGATATATTACTCCTGAGGGAATTCTGCATGAAAAAAATTAAAAAATTCTGCACAATGTTTTAATATTCTTCATTTTTTGTGAGTAAATGAATGTGGAGGATCCTGTATAGCAGTGGGGAGCACAGGCCACAGGTTGCACAGAGATGGGAAATCACCCAGGAACCTCACACTCACCGGGACATGGACTCATTGGTGAGGCTCCATCTGACCAGGGCCTGCCCCCAAAACACCACAGAGCACTGCCCCTCAATGAGAGGTGCACCAGGTGTGGGCAGGTAAAATCAGCCCAGCAGAATACAAGTGTGGAGGGGCTTAATGAGGGGGATCCAGTGTGGTGTAAGAGGATTCTCTGTGGGGCAATCTAAATGTGGGCAGGTCAGTAGGGGTTCCAGGTCCTGGGGAATGTGAATGCATATCGGGAGGTTCTGGATGCAGAGGCAAAGGGTCTCTGCAGGGAGGTCCAGTTGAAGATGGCTGGGGCTCACCAGATGTGTGTGGATGGATGGGGCTTGGCAGGGAGTTTGGATGTTTGGTGAGTGGGGCTTGGTACAGTGAAGGTCCATATTCAGCTGGTTGGAGCTCAGTGGGGTGGGGATTCAGGTGCAGGGAACTCATTAGAATAGTCCAGGTACAGGGGGTTGGGAGCCCTTGTGGTGGGGGTTCAAGTGTGGGGAGATTATTTGGGGCTAGACTGGAGGCAAAGATGGAGGTCTAAGTGTGGGGTGCCCTGATGCAGGAGATGAAGCTTGACTGGGTGGGGAGTTGGTATGGGGTGAGGTTCAGTGGGGGACTATGGGCATGGGGGTCCAGGTACATGGGGCTTGTGCAGATGGGGGAGCAACTCCCTGTACACTGACCCCTCCCCTTGCAGCTGAGGAGTGTTTGGACCGGCAGGAGAAGGGGAGAGGGTGAGTCCAGGTCTGGGGAAGGATCTGATTCAGCTACCCCTTGCAGAGGAAAAGCAAGTGTCATCTTCCCCTTCTTGGGATTAGCAGCTGATCATGGTACATGGTAGAAGCCACCATTTGGGACATCTCTAGCCCTATTTCCCCTCCTTCCCTGTGATTTACCTCATTGTCAGCTGTTTTGGGTGCCTGAATCAACATTTTTGTGAGGGGAAGCAAAGAAACTTGCAGGGGACAAATTCTGCACATGCGCAGTAGCACAGAACTCCCTCAGAAGTGGTATGTGCAGACACAAATATGAAATACTCTTGCTCAGAAAGTGGGCTTCTATATTAATAGAAACTTCTGAATGTTTTTCATGTTTGTCTCACAAGAATGACTATGATAAGATCGGCATCTGAGGGACAAACAAGACTATCTGGTCATTAACTGAAAAAAGATTAATCTGGCCTGTAATGTTAACTGGTAGTCCATGAAGCAACAATTAATCTGGTCAGACCACACCACTACAAAGCACACAGACGGTTGGCAGACATCCTTAATAGACAAAGTGGTCATTGATTTCTAATAAGAACATAAGAATGGCCGTACTGGGTCAGACCAAAGGTCTATCTAGCCCAGTATCCTGTCTGATGACAGTAGCCAGCACCAGGTGCCCCACAGAGGGCGGACTGAAGACAATGATCAAGTGATTTGTCTCCTGTCATCCTTCTCCAGCCTCTGACAGACAGAGGCCAGGAACACCAATTCTATCCCCTGGCTAATAGCTTTCTATGGACCTAACCTCCATGAACTTATCTAG